CTTTCAAGGTTCTATGGCCGCAGATGTCAATGTGGCCAAGAGTTGCGTACATGTACGACATGCTGTTCGAGTTGCCGGCCAGCTGTTGAAGGATGCCGTTCCCCGATTTCGGTTGGGAAGAGATGATCATCGTGTGGGGCATAGAGGGGGTGGCGGTGGCGGCAATGTCGCTGTCGACGCGGGTCTGCCAAGCATTGAAGGCCGAGCATCCGGCACGGGCTGGGCGGGGGACAACATGACGCAAGCTGCGGGATGGATCTGTTGGCAGAAGGCGGCGCGGGGGAACGGTGGTCGACTGCTAAGCGAAGCTTCGCCTAGACGGCAGGGCGTGAGAAAATGGGCTGCACAGCTTTGCCTCGCCTCGCTCGCGAGACGCTTTTGCTCTCACCCCGAACCAGTTGCGCCGGAACGGAAGCCAAGATCCGTCCTCGTTGGACCCCAACATGAAGCTGCTGCGAACGGGTTAGACTGACGCGAGCGTCGGGCAGGGTGGAATTGACCGATGGGATGCAACTGTGGAGCTCCACAAGCAAAAGTCTCTTTGCGCCACTCGCTAGGATGGTCCATCCATAGCCCGGTGGCGCTCAGCGCCGTTCGTATGACGACACCTGTCAATGAACCATTGTGTCTGTAACTGCGCAGGATTGGCATCGGGCCGGCCTGCGCCGATTGTCCCGTTCCGACGATACGTGCTCCATCGGGGCTGCTTCTTTCACGAGGAGGCTCACGCGTGGCTCGTGTCTGAAACCCACCACTGAATTGCTCGTTCGGATGCGGACAGGCACGAGTAGCAGCTTTTCACAACGTTCAGGGTCCAGACCATGTCGAATCGGCTTAGCGTCATGTTCTTGTGCACACCAGAACCGGCTCGAAATCTCGCCGGGGGATCGACAGGCAGTGGCGCTCGAGGCCCTGATCCAAATGTCGTCATCCTGCGGCGAGGTGTTGCGGAACATGAGCTTTCCACAACGAGCTTGCCAGCCGAAAGAACTCAAATTACCGTACCAAGCTTGGGATGAAAGCTGCACGACAGCTGCCGCTCAACGGAAGGGTGGATTACAAGCCGACGACTCCCACGGTCCGAGGCTGCAAAAATGCGCGACGTTGGCGTGATGGCGAGCTGGTTCATTTGAGGCGGCGCTCCGAGCAGAGTGTCAGGAGGACCCTTGGACCAAAAACGCAGCTTCGGCACGGCCAGACACCGCTGCCATTCGAGTGGATTCGAGTGGATTGAATGGACAATTTCACGCTCCGCTCTACACCGCGGAACAGCGACGGCGCTCGCGAGCTGCTCCCTCGCCCAAGCAACTTAGCGTCGGATATCTCGCCCAGAGCCAAATGAAGACAATGAAGAAAAAGAAAAAAAAAATGCCGCCCTTGGCTTTCACGCGGTCGGGTTTGGGCTTGCTGGGGCACGCCACCACGCGCGTCGCTTTGGCCTCTCGTCGCAACCCCACAAATTCTCGCGACCGAATCAAGCCGAACTTGTCAGGCCACCAGCAAGGTGAGAGGGATGAATGTCCGCAGCTGCACCATCGGTCGCACTTCGGACGAGCTCGAGGATGGATCAAATCAACATGGCATAACTTGGCAGAGCAGAGCAAGCCGAGCAATCAAGGCCGCACTTTCACAAAATGCCAAAGCTGACGCACGCGCTTCTACGACTTGAATGGTGAAGGCATCGTCGGTCACGTGGGCCGCTCACGCCTCTCGCCCATCTCAGCAGCTACAATGGCATGCATGCGAGTCGGCGCTCGACCTTCATCTCAAGCTGAATGAATCGACGGGTGGGGTTGCGGATGCGCCGACGATTCACCAAGCCCAAATCCAAGTCCAAGCCCACGCCCAAGGCCAAGGCAGTGGAGGCGGCACCAGTCTGATATGGGCATCCAAGTTTAACCGTGCACCAGGCGTGCTCTGCTTACCTTGGTCGAGATGAAGCCGAAAGCGATGGAGGGGCCGCGGCAAGGTTGGCGACGCTTTCAAGCCCTTGGACACCTTTTTGACGGCTGCCGTCGCGGACCGGACTCGCTTGCTGCCCTGCTTGATTGCTCGCTCGTTTGAAAAAGCAATAGAAAAAGAAAAATTCACCCACACAAAAAAAGGGAATCCGCGGCCAGCTGCGTCAGCGTTCACACTCCCCCTCTCGCCTTTTGCCTCGCCTCTATCCTGGCCGTTGCTTGTCGGAGGGGCCGCACCTGAGCTCGCCTTTCTCACGCTCTCACGCGCTTGCTTCTCCCTCTTGCTGGTGCTGTGAATCCCAGCAGTGCCACTTGAGCGCTCAGGCTGCCCTGCCTAGTCCAGCCCAGCCAGCCCGCCCATCTCCCCGTGGCAACCGTACGCACTTACTGTACCGCGCCCGTCCACTGCGAAATGCGAGTTGCTTATCCCCGCGCCCCCTGCACATGACCCTCGCTTCCTCCCACTCGACAGAATACTGCAGTCAGGCTAGAACCGACGCACTTTGGAACGCTCGCTTGCTTGTCGCCCAACACGGCGCAGTCAACCAACGAATCTGCGCTCCGCCTTCTGCCTGCCTCCTCCTCCTCGTCGCTTTGGCCGATGCTGCTGAAGCCCTTGTTCGCCATCAGCACCTGCTCTTCATCGTCAGTCGACGCCACCACTACCATCATCTGCCACCCTTCCATCGCGCATTTCGGCGTTTCCGACATCGACGTCGACACCAGTGCTCGCGTGCACTCCCACTCGGCACTTGTTCATCCTTGGCCTGCCCTGCTGCGCTTCTTCTCATCCGCCACTGCACGCACATCCAGCCGCAAAAGTGTCGGCACGACTGGCCTGCCCTACATCGCGCTTCATCGCCCGGCGGCCGCTCCAGCAGCTAGCATAGCCTAGCCTAGCTTCTTGGCACTTGCCCAAGCAGACACTCGCCACAGCTCTCGCATTCGCGCCGCTCTTCCGTCCATCGACGTAGGGAGATTGGTCCAGCTCCTCACACGCTTGGCTCTCCATATCCACGTTCCCCATCGCATGCACGGATGACCACTTGCAGCTTCTGATCGCTGCAGCTACCCAACTTCAATCGGCTGGATTCATAGGTCCCGGTGGGACGTCTTTCACGCCTCAGCCCTTGGATTCTCGCCCCACATCCCATCCTATCCGCACCCCACCAGCACCACACACGCTTCCACCATGGAGTCCACATCTGCTTCCACATTGCACGGCGACGATCGCTGGACCGCACATCGTGCCGACGCAGATGGCGCCGCCGCAGCTAGCGCCGCTTCGACCCCTGCTCCTACCACACCCGCCACACCACCCGCCGATGATCTCTCTTCCTCCCAAGAGCTGCCTCGTGCCGCGTCATCAGCATCACCTTCCAACGGCCTCGGCATCGATGCCGAAGACGAAGATGNCCCGCCGATGATCTCTCTTCCTCCCAAGAGCTGCCTCGTGCCGCGTCATCAGCATCACCTTCCAACGGCCTCGGCATCGATGCCGAAGACGAAGATGTCCGCATCGCCATCATGGCTCTCGGCGCAATGAAGAGTCTCGACGGCTCCTCCAACGGTTTCGGCGCTCACAGCACCAGCAGCAGCGCAATCTCGCTTCCAGACGCACACAAGCGCTCGAGCAAATGTGAGTATTCGCACACAGAGCTTCTGCCACAACACATGCCGAGCCCACAGCTGATCCAAACCACATCTCCTTGGTCGTCTACAGCACCAGCACGCACGTCTTCGGCCATCTCCAATTCCAGCGTCGCCTCCACAGCCATCTCTTCGCCCTCCTCGACGCCCACCACCGACCTCACACAGGATTCGGGCGCAGACTCCCCCGCAGGCCGCATGGCCGGTCCCGCTCGTCTCGGCGACTTGCCACCAGATCTCAAGCTTCCCGCCGTCATCCAGGACGAAGATGGCAACGAGCTCGAGGTCGACCCGGAAATGATGAACGACGCCGACTTTTTGAGGCGCGTCAGCCACCTCCCGCTCGTCCGCGGCACGCTCCGCGCGTACGAGCTCGGCAAGCAGCGCAGCAAGGTCGTCAAGTACGGCGCAGGCCTCGTAGAGAGCTCGGTCAAGTCCATCTCCCGCCCCGTCGTCAGCCGTCTCGGCGCCAGCCTCGGCGAACGCGGCGTAGAGCAGCTTGACGATTTCGCCTGCCGACAGCTCGACCGCCTCTACCCCACCGCCGTCGCATCGCCCACAAAGGAGGAGAAGCGCACCATCCTCGACGAGGTCGAACGCAAGGACCAAGAGGAATGGCAAAACATGAGCACAGAGGAGCGCGAGAAGCGCCGAAAAGCGTATACCGCGCTCCAGCTCGAAGAGCGCGAACGCAACCTCATGGCCAACGAGCTTCGCCAGCGTCGCGGCAAAGGCATCGACCTCGAGATCGAAACCGCTCACACCTCAGCCATCGCCTCGGGCAGCGCCAGCCGCGCCTCGAGCGGCAAGCAAAAGGCGCAAGACGACACTCCCATGGGCGACGCCGCCGGCGATGCTGCCGACGAGAGCAAGGCAAAGGACGCGCAGAGCGGCGCCGTAGTCCGCGCCAACGCAGCCCAGTCGTTGCCGTTCAAGAACAGCCGATGGGGCTCGATGCTCGTCGAAGCCGGCGCCACCGCAGGCGGTCTGTCCGCCGCCATGAGCGAAGAGTCGATGAAGTCGCTCAAATACTGCCTCCAGTGGCTTCAGTACGCCACCGCACACATCGAGCATCAGATTACGATCCTCCGCGACCTCATCGTCCGCCTCAACCACGGCGAACTCGACATGTCCGGCACCGCCGTGCAGAACCTCACCCACATCAAGGGCGACGTCGTCAACACCATCCGTGGCGTCGTCGATGTGATCGGAAAGTACGCCGGCAGTGCGCTGCCCGAGCCGGCGCGCAACAGCGTCAAGGCGTTCATCCTCAGTCTGCCCGCGCGCTGGGCCACGGTCAACCGCAGTTCCACCGCCGGATCGCCAACGGGCTACTTTGGCAGCAGCCCCTCGTCGCCCTCCTTCTCGCCGGCGCACATCAGCGAGGGCCCGCAGTCGCCCACGCATCTCTCGGCGAGCGCACGCTACCGCAGCGGCGCCGGGGGCCCTCGCGAGCAGATGCAGGTGGCAGCCACGGCGCAGGCGGCCAACCGCATCTTGACGCTCGCCATCGAGTCGCTCGACATCCTGCGCAGCGTCACCGTCGTGTTTGGCGAGTCGCTCGACCGCGCCGATCTGTGGGTGGAGCGTCTGCGCATCCTGGGTCTGCAGCGCAAGCGAGCGCACGAGGCGCAAGCGTCCGAGCCGCCGCAGATCGGTCCGGCACCCGGCTCGTCCTCCTCGTTGGGGGCGCCGCAGCACTGGGAGAGCGCGCGCGGCTCGTCGATGCGCAGCAGCCGCGCCACGTCGCCCGGCGGCGACAGCGACGTGAGCATGGACACGAGCGCCTCCACCAAGCGCCGACGCACGCGCCAGACGGCCTCGGGCGGATTCCACATGTCGAGGACGCCTTCGGCCGCCGCCTCGCAGGGCGAGGGTTCCGAGGATGACGAGGCACTCACGGAGACGGAAAAGTCGAAATCGCCCCTGTTGGGCGGTGCGGCGACGTTCTCGGCAGGCAGCGCACACTCTGGGAACGGCAGTGCGCCGCACCACCACCACGCACACCGACGGCCGGGCACACGCTCGCGCGCTGGCACGGGAGGCAAGCACTACCCCATGCACCCGCCCACGCTTCCGTCGCCGCTGCACGCCACGTTTGCCAATAGCCACAGCTCGAGGCCCGAGTCGAACGCATGAGGGCAAGCTGCGTGCTCGGTCTATTCATTCTTCACACTGGTTTCTTCCCATTTTTTTTTCGGCACGGAGCTTGCTTTCTCCAGCCAACTGTACTTGTATCTGTACCGTGCTTGTGTTGCACCTCTCTCAGCAGATTCGTCTTTGCCATGCACTCGATCCATCGAAATGCTTTTTCTAACCGTGCACATGCGGCGGTGTGGGGTCGGGGAGGATGGATGGGAATGAATGGGTTTGCAATGCAGAGGATTGGAGGGGGGCTAAGCGAGGTAGATGTAGGTGTTTCTGTCGGTGGGGGAGCGTTCGAGGTATTCGCGGTCGATGAGGGATTCGATGCGACGTTTGATGTGGGGGATTTGTGGGTGGAAGCGGGATGATAGTTGGGCGACGGTTTGTTGGATGAGGTCGTTGTGGGTGGATTGTTTGCGGTTCTTCATGATGCGCACGATGCTGGCCTCGATGAGCACGGTACGTTCTTCATCGATGCGTGCCGATGTGGCTTGACGTTGTTGTGGCGTTTCGACGCGTGCAGCGATTTGTTGGATCTTGAACCGAGCAAGAGGACAGGTGAAGGAGGAGTTGAAGGTAAACGTGTCGGTGTTGTTGACATCTCGAGACTTGGGATTCTTGAGCAGGATCCGGTACTTGCCACATGAGAGTGACTGCAGCGTTCGTTCCAGATCCGAGTCCGAAATCATTGTCCGCTTCGAAATGTCCCCGTACGACAATGCAACTCCCTCCTCAACATCGCCAAAGAGCAACAGGACGACGAGGGCAAACGTCGAAACATTGATCTCGTGACTTCTTGCCCTGAAAGCCACCTTGACATCGGCACTACCCAAATTGGCATGCCAAGTAAGCACCCTGCCGTTATGTCGACTGGCGTAAAACTCTTCAAACCTCCTCCTTGTCTCCATCATCTCCTCGGGCATAACGCAGCTGGGCGCCTGCGCCGATATCGGCCAATTGGTACTGGTCAAAACACTAACCCCCAACCCCATTGGCATCCCCCGATCCGACCTCTTTACCACCCTTCCAAACTCCTCCATCAACTCCTCGCTCGTCTTCATATCGTTCAACATGCCCTGCAGCTTAACCACATAGCCATGTCCGCTTTCCACCTTGAGCTTGGCCATCATCCCCCGCTCCGCATCATCCGACACGCTCCTGCCTTGCAACAACCTCTTGGCTAGATGTTGCTTGTAGTACCGTTCGAAGGTATCCTTTTCGTGAAGGAAGCGGAAGACGCAGATGGTCTTGCGCAACACCTCGTCGACCTCCGCCTCGCTCTTGCCCTTCAAGCCCTTCTTGAGGTTCTCGTCGATGAAAAGCGAGATGAACTCGGGCGCGCGCTTGTTGGTGTTGATGAACGACTCAAACGCCTCGTTGATCGCCGTCTCGCATCCCGTGTCGTTGGCAAACGCACCTTCGAGCACCGCATCGAACTTGTACTTGAACTCCAGCACCTCTTCCACCCACCGAATCGCCGTAGCTGCCTGCGGTGTCGACGCATCACTCTCCCTCTCCTTGGACTTGGCCAGCTTGGCAGTCGAAGATTCGACGGGAGCATCGGTAGACGGCGCCGCAGCAGTCTGACTCGCGACGGCGTCGTTGATGAGCTTACCCTTGGCGGCGATGTAGCTCTTGAGGCCGAGTCGGAGCTTGTGTGGGCCGTCGGCGACGCGGTGGAAGAGCGTGTACATGCGGCAGAGATCATCGGTGCGATGCTGGTCGAGCATGCTCACGAGCCCCGAGCCGGGCATGTCGATGATGGTAGCCAAATGGCGCGCAAGGAAGTGCGTCTCCAGCAGCTGCTGCAGCGGCTTGGCCGTCTCGGGTTTGAGGTACACCGACACGCGGTCGGCCTCCTCATTCAACCTGCGCGCAACGTGGGCGAGGTACTTGGGCGCATCGCCCGCATCGAGCCATCGATCCGCCTCGGCCGAGTAGAACGCCGCCGAGGTCTGCAGGAAGGCCGGCTCAAAGTCGATCGAGTACACCGACGGGTCCTCGTCGGGCGGTGCGCCCGGTTTGTGCTGCGTGAGGTCGGCGAGCATGTCCACGTTGGACTTGACGAGCGAGCGGCTGACGGCGGAGCCCTCGCGTTCG